CTTTTGTTTCAGAGATACTGAGGATGGAACATAGAAAAAAAACAGCTTTTTTCCCCTCGCCTGAGGTTTTTCTGCATTATACAGTATATAACCTTTTCAAAAGTATAATGAATAAGGCTAAAAACTCTTGGAAACCATGAATCAACTTATGGACATTACCTGTGCAGAACCTCCTGCTGCTGAAGTAAAATACAACAAAGTTACAGAGGTTTTAGTAAAAAAAAAAAATAGGCGTTTTTTTTTTCCTTGGGCACAAATTGGCACATTTTGGCTCCACCTACAAAAATAGAGTTTTTTTTAAGTTTTTAGTTATAAAACTTACAAAACTTGATAAATAAGTAAGCTAACTAGCAAAAACAGAACATTTTATATTTTATTTTACTTTTTAAACGGCACGTAGACACAACCGTAAGTGTGGTGTGTGACGCTGCGCTTTACATGTTTTTTTTTTCCAGATGAAATAACGATGAGGGGAAAAGTTATGTTTGTTGATGAGTGACCAAAATAAGAATGCCTGACGATGAAAAGCAGATAATTTAACAGGAACCTTTTGTACATCAAAGTTACACATAAGGAAGAAGTTCAAACCACCCGTTCTAGATAAAAAATGGTAAGGAATGATGTTCCAAATAGAAGCTGGATATTTAAAAAATAGATGAATCCAATTTATTTTGAAGGTGTTATTTAGAGTGGAGAATGATAGAAAGTTCACTCCTCCATCATCAWATGAGTTCATCAGTACAGATGTCTTAAGGTAATGAATCTTGTTTTTCCAAACAAAATTGAAAAGTAATTTATCGATTTCTTTACCACTTTTATTGTCAAGGTGTAAAGCCCGAGCTGCTTAGGTGAGTCTAGAAATGCCTTCAGCCTCAGTAAGTAAATACGGCCTTTAGTTGATAGGTCCCTTAATAGCCATTGATTTAGTTGATTTAATAATTAAAGGGTTGAAGTTTAAAGAGCTTCGATTTTTTTGATCCTTTGTGATAATAATGCCCAAGTAATTTATTTCATTTTTAATTGGTATGTTTTCGATTGAAGTTTTGGAACAGTCTTTAATGGCCATAATTTCACATTTACTGAGGTTTAGATGGAGTCCAGATGCTTTTGAGAAAGATTTAATAACATTAATAACTAATGGGATTTGTTTCTCATCTTTTAAGAATAAGGTAGTATCATCAGCCAACCGAGTTAAGATGAGAGTTTTCCCCGTTGGCCTTCCACTGAGCTAGTTTTGATAAGATCAGCCAATAATTGAGCCACTAAAAGGAAAAGATATGGAGAGACAGGACACCCC